GGCCCGAGCAGGACTAGTGAGACGGTGTTGTTTAGATAGCCCATGGGAGCATCCAGGATGTGTCAAGTAGTGTTCGTGCTAAATTGGCTCTATATATATTTTTTGACGAAACTGGAGGGGCCATAGCCCCTATAGGAAGTTTATCGAATTAAAAGAACAAAGTTTAGATATCAGTGCATGCTTCCTCTGTATATTTGAATTTGGATGAATGTGAAAGAAGAGGCACTCTTCCTGGTGCCACAGTAGACGTTGTTAATATGAATGATCAGTGCATGCTGGAACAAGATGAAAGGACCTGGAGGGAGTGACGACACTTTGTCCTTGGCAAGCACCGGACACTATACCCCTGCCACTATTGCTCCGAGCACAGAGTTATTTGGATCAGTTACTGAGCTACATTACTACTACCATGGCAAACCACACAGAAGTGCTATCCATGTTGTTTAATCTATATTTAAAAGCAATTCTAAGAGAGTTGGTAAAAATAGATGAATAAACCTATGATTTACCTAATCTCTAAAATAGAAATCTCCGTAAAAAACAGAAAACTCCAACAACCTTTCTACTATGGCCAGGCAGATGGCTAGCGGCACATGCAAGCTATATTTACCATACGAGAATTCCGAGATAGATGACTTGCTATTTTAGAAAGCCGGATACAATAGCTGTTGGACTCTCTTTTCTTCCTAAAATAGTCAAATATAGATTACACAACATGGATAGCTCTTCGGTTGGAGTTGCTCTAAGTATTTTGGGAAGAAAAAAGAGTCCAAGAGCTATTGTATCTCACTTTCCAAAATAGTAAGCCACCTATCCCGGAGTTCGCTCACGCTAAATATAGCTCGCATGTGCCGCTAGCCATTGGCCTTGCCGTACTGGAATGGCGGTTGGAGTTTTCTTTTTTTTTGCGAGGCTTTCTATTTTAGAGGTTGGCGAAATCATAGGTTTAGCCATCTATTTTTACCAACTCTCTTGGAGTTTCTCTGGACCAAGAAATGGAAACACTAGAAGATGCAGGAACTATGTTTTCGTCATAGAATGATAAAAATAGCCAGCACAAGAGTAGCAGGTTAGCAGAAAAAGGAAGGAAAAATTCAGAGAAGAACTTAGTGCAACTTCGCACAACAAGCGATTTCTAAGAAAACTAGGAGAATTGTTGCCCTCAACTAATGCTTCAAAATCTAAAGAGTTTTGACCATCTCGCGCAACATTTCGATCTTCCACTAACCAAACAAACGATGAAGGCCTTGATGGACCTTAATTGAGCATGGATGCCCCAAGAACAAGAAGGCAACAACACGTTTGAGAGTGGAGCAGGAGAGAGAAGGCTAGGGATAGGTCGTTTCAACTTGTCTTTATTCTTATTGTGGGGCCCTTCAGCAGGTTGTTTTTCAGCCTACGTCTTTGTTGCAGTTAGGTGTTTTCGTTCTTTGGTTTATTGGTATTTTAACCTGGGTTACTTGCTTATCAGAGCTGATCATCCTCTTTTGTTAGTGTTTTCTACAACGGCACCGCCAGGACAGGGGGGCGACCAGGTGTTCGGCCTCATCATGTGCTACGCCGACCGCAACGCGACGCAGTGCCTGGGTGCCTGCTGTGCCCTCGCCGTGGCTGTGAGCGCGGCGCTTTTTTCTTTTGGTCGTTTTCTTGAGGTTTCAAACTGGTTAGTTAGTTTTTTAATGATTTGCTATTTATCTGCTGATAGATTTTTGAGGAAAAAATCTGTCGAATTTTTTGATGTTGCAAATGTTGTTCTTTGATGTCCTGCTGTCCTGGCTCTCATTGTGTCCAAAGTTAGAGGAGGAAATATGACAAGTTGTATAAGATGTTGCAGATGATATTTTATCATGTTTCAAGCATTGTTCATGCTTGTTGCATAGTACTTCATTGTTTCAGTCATATGCAACATAGAAGGATAACACATGCAACATCATAAAATTCGACAGGTTTTATCCTTCAAAATCTATCAACAGATAAATAGATATTCCCTTTTTTTAATTAGTAGTATGGAGTGCTCTGTGCTCCTCTGCTGGTGAGCCTTGTCGGCCTTTAGAACCGAGTACTCATTCTGTTTTCTGACCCAATTTTATTTTAACAACCGGAGTATTTCTTTTTCTTCTAATAATATATGCAGCACTGCTCTTGCCTCTCTTAAAAAAATATCGGTGGGTGGGATGGATCTAGCAGCGCAAAAAATCGGGTGTTAGGGGTGCTGCAAACAGAGTGCTGCTAGGCCATCTTTTTTGTGTGACAATGGAGTATCTGGAGTTCTGGACGGTAGAGATTTCCTGTCTTGTCTCCGAACTAGTTTCGCAAAAATGGGATACGCTGCATGTGAGAGTATCGTGATCACTGATCACCTTATCACTTGCAGAGGTGACCAAACCTAAGCAAGCTGGACCAATGAAGCGGAGTCCACGGAGAGAGACGAAACCTTAACGAGGCTAGATTGCAGAATGGATATTCACTTTTAATGGTATTTTACGGTACAATGAATTTTCGATGGTATTTTCTGAATCTCATGTTCTTTCAGTGCTATGAAACCAATTCTCCCTTAAAAAAAATTGATGGGTGGGATAGATCTAGCAGCGCAAAAAATCGGGTGTTAGGGGTGCTGCAAACAGAATAGGCCATCTTTTTTCTCTCAATGGAGTACAATTCACGGTAGAGATTTCCTGTCTTCTCTCAGCATTAGTTTGCAAAAATGGGATGCGCAGCATGTGAGAGTATCGTGATCACTGATCACCTTATCAACACTTGCTGGACCAACGAAGGAGAGAGAAAACCTTAACGAAGCAGAGGCCAGAGGTTGTGCAATAATTCCATCTCCCATGATCGGTGTGTTCAATTTTGGATTATTCAAAGATTCTTCATGATCGTGTGTTCGTTTTCTTCAAAGCTTTCTATACCAGTACCAATTATTCTCTCTTGTTAGCTGTTGTTTTCATGGGATGAGACGAAGAGTCCCCTCATCACGCGCCACACAAACATGGGCATTTCTGCGGCTAATGATAAACCATGCAGCGCATCTATTTCTCCCATAAAATCAATCGAAATCGACGTTCCACCTGCAACCAGTTCTATTGCACTCCTATTTTATTTGGCTATTTCTCTGCAGCGAGTCACCTACCAAGTTTCCATCGCTGAGAACGTCTCCACACTCCACAGTTTTCCCGTCACCGATAGTGATACTGATGACTTGATGAGCTAGGTACTGAATGGATGTCAATTCTTGGTAATGGTAACATGCAAACTAGAGATATCACGGCAATTATTTTAGTCTCTTAGCAGAAACAGTCTATACTCTACCGTCACTCCATCAGTATTCAGTAACAGTAATTTTGCAACCAGATACATGCAGATGCAGAAGCTAAAGAACTAAGGGGGAAAATCGGAGGTGAATAGCTAGTAGTACTATATACTCGTCGCACCTGGCATACACGTCGAGGTTCCGGACGTCGTCGCCGTACGCCGCGTGCACGCCACCGCCGCCGCCGGCGGCGACGGCCGCGAGCTCGGCGCGGAGCCGCGTCCCTCCTTTGTCCACCGTCACGGTTCGGACAGCGTACCCGCCGCTGCCGGCGACGAGCTCCGCGCACAGGCAAGGAGCGCAGCAGCAGAGGCACAGCACAAGGTAGAAGAGCAGCGGCGCCCGGGCCGTCGTCGCCATTGCGTGCCCGGTGCCCGTGCAGAGCTATAAACCTACAACTGGGAGTCTGTGAGGGCCGGCTGGCCAGCCAGCAGGAGCACGTACTGGTCGCGATCAGGCACGACGCGACAGGGGACGGTGTTATATATTCCGGGATGGCTGGATGCGTCTTTTCCTCCTCTCGCAGCCGTCCAAATGGACCAGCAGTTGGTCCATGGATGGTGGTAGACGGCTTGGCATGTCCTGTCCTCTGCCGGCACATCCATCGGGAGGCGTTCATGATAACGTCGTCTTTGGAACGAAGGCACAACGCAGAATGAGAGTGTTAGACTGTCGCCGATGGCGGCGTCTCTTTCTCAGCTTCTACCTTGAGAAACGCAGGCGCATTATTTGGCAGTTTCGTCTTTGGCATTAGCTTCCGTTCACAGGTCTGATCGCGCAAGTCCCACGGCCGGCAGCAGAACCAGAAGCAGACGGGTGGATTCACCTGGTTTTATTCAGAATATTGCGCTGAAGGCGGCACCACAAGCAGTGTGTCACTTAAAAACCACTGCGATGCACAACACATAAACCAGTGTGTTTAGAATACTATTGTAATAATCAAAATTCAGTAAATGTCACAGAAAACAACATCACGTTGTATTATTGGAGCTAGATTAATTTAAGCTAGCCTGGCTCAAAATTTAAACCTGTCTAGCTTAGGCCACGTAATCAACACATGCCCTACATGTCACAGGATGCTTGTTCCCAGTGAATTTATCGTGGGCATACCAGAACTGGAACTGGAAGAGTTTCCAGCAGGGGACTCTGTTTGAACGGCGGCAATCCTGCTGACGCTGTGCTGAACACGTTCATTCTTCCAGCGTTTCAGGGCGGCCACGGCGACGTCCACCGCACCGTCTCCCGGCTCACTCCAGCCGGCAGCCGGGAAAGGGAAACGCCCATCTTGCCGCCGGCCACCACGCACTGCACGGTGGCGGTCGTCTAGGCCGCAGCATGATGAACGCACGCGCCGCCCCACGACGCACCACCGCACACCGCCCCTGTCTTCGCGGGCGACAAGCCGAATACCAGGGTGAAAACAGCTGCAGCCTTCTGATCTTGCTTGGACGGTGGACGTGGCAGGGCAAGTCACGCGAGTGACTGAACGAAGGTAAGTTACTGTGCGTCGGCGCCGGGACGGGCCTGCGCCGCCCCCGTCACCGAAAAGCCGAGCAGCGCCGGGGCGGAAAGGTCGGTGCGCGAAACAGCGTCGGGAGGAGGAAAGGTCTGATCCCCGGCACCGCGTCCCATGATGAGGAACCTGGTCCGGTCGGGCCAGCTCGCCGACGCGAGGATTCTATTCGACGCAATGCCGCACCGCGACGAGGTCGCCTACGCCACGCTCCTCTCGGGCTATGCCGCGGCAGCCGACTTCCCGGGCGCCATGGCGCTCTTCTCCCGCCTCCGCCACTCCTCCCCGCCTCACGCCGCCGCGGACCCGTTCGTCCTCAGCCCCGTCCTCAAGGCCTGCGCTTCCGCCTCCGCTGCCGCCGGCGCCGGCGCAGGGCTCCTCCCCCTCTGCCTCCCCCACGCCGCCGCCACGGCGGCCGCGCTGCACGCGTTCGCCGTCCTTTCCTCCGCCCTGTCGTCCGTGTTCGTCTCCACGGCGCTCGCTGCATGCACTTGCTGTGGCTGCTGGACTTGAACACCATGCGATGCTCAGACGTGCGCTCATTGACATGTACGGAAAGAGTGGTAGCATGTCAGATGCTAATGTCGTATTTTCCAGTCGCACTAGAGATGATGTGATTTCATGGACTGCAATGATCGTTGGACATGCTGAGCATGGTCACAGCAAAGAGGCATTTAAACTGTTTGAGGAAATGTGCCATGTCGGGCTAAAGCCGGACCATATTACGTTCATTGGTGTACTCACTGCTTGCTCTCACGCAGGGGAAGTTGAGCTTGGATTGAGATACCTCAATGCAATGAACAAAAGCTATGGGCTGGAGCCTGAAAAGGAGCACTACGGTTGTGTTGTTGATTTGTTAGCCAGAGCTGGTAGAATACATGAGGCTGAGGAGTTGATTGGAAGAATTGCTGCTGATGGAAGAGGTGGTGTGGTTTGGACATCTTTGCTTAGGGCATGTGCTGCTCGAGGGGCAGAGGAAACCGGAAAGAAAGCTGCAGAGAGGATGATGGAGGCAGAGCCATGGGGTTCAGGAGCACATGTGGCGATGGCGAACCTCTATGCGCAAGGGGCAGTGGCGTGAGGCAGCAGAGGAACGCCATTTGATGAAGCAGAAAGGTGTTGTAAAAGGTGCAGGGTGGTCATCAATCGAAGTTGGAGGGCAGAACAGGGGGATTGGAATGTTTGTTTCAGGAGGTCGGACAAATCCCCATGACGATGCCATCCACATGATGCTTGAGCTGATGTACTATGGAGCTGGAGCTTTAGGATCTGAAGTGGAGCTAACAATTAACAGCCCTGATCAGTTGGGTTTAGGATCTGGTTTGATGTGAGAGAGCTAAAAATTAACGAGTAACTGAGTCATCCTGAAAGAATCACTTACTGCAAGGGAGAAATTTACATGGTACCTTGTCAATGATGAAGCATCCATTGGACGACACATTGTATCCTGCTCTTCAGTTGCTTCAAGTTACGATAGCCTTCCATTTGTCGTGTCTTTCGTTTTTTGTGGGTGACTTTTTTTTTTTAGACGATAGAAGAATTGTATTAAAATATAGCTAAGTACATCATCACGTTACAAACACTCTGAAAAACACTATGTATATCCAGAAACTAATCTTCATCTATATTGTACTCACGCTTTGTATACCTCCAAATCTCAAATCCAAACCTGTATGACGATTCGTATAGATGACCGCACAAGCAAACACTCGGCAAAAGGCCTGAGAACAGATCCCCAACGAACGACGGTCAACATTCCTGCGGTGAAGTTGAGAAACTTCTTTCATGTGTCTTCCTTCTTCTTCTTTCTGTCACCGAAGAATAAGGAAGACTGATCTAAAACTTATTCTTCCTAGTCTTTCGTCATGGTTAGATCTAACGACAACAAAACGGAGAGGAGACCGGAGAAAATTATTCCATGGCAGCGACATCATCTCCGCCTTGATGTCGCCGTCCGGAAAACTGAGTCTCCATATCGTCATGCCAAGGATGATGCTGGCGTCGTAGTTGTCTCCCTCATCTTCACCAGAGCCGTCATGGATAAGACGAATCCACCCTGCCCCCTCGCCGTCGCCGGGAAGAAGGAGAAGGAAATAAATCCCCAATGCCAAGAAACTTGGTATGGAGAGACCCTAACCCTAAAGGACTCGATCTACTAGGAAACTTTATAAAAACGATGGATCCCCACTCACTCCGGCCCCGGCGTGATGTCGGAGGGGAGAAGGGAGGGGGACCAGTGGTGGTGGAGACGGGGGCAGCCGCGGCGGCTGTCGTTAGGGCGAAGTCGGGAAGAGAATGGGAACGTGAGACTGCAAATAATGTTTATTTTACATATATTGTCCTCATTTTTTGTGGGTGACTTTGTCCTATTCTAAATGCACCCACCTAACCCTTACTTAGCCATCTGATATTTTCTCTGCTAGTCCACATTTGCGCACGTGAGTAGGGGTGTTGAAGTGTGTATAAATGCATGACCACCTCTTTCTGATAGCTTAATGTTGGTGTTTTGAACCATCGGCTAGTAAAATTGTATATGTGCGTCTAGCCCCGATGGCGTGCTCGAAGGACACAAGAATTTATACTGGTTGGGGGCAGAATGTCCCTACGTCCAGTCTGCTGCTGCTCGTGTTACCAGCACTAGTTTATAGTAGGGGTTACAGACGGACGAGTGAGGGAGAAGGTCACAAGTCTCTGGTGAAAAGATCGAATATAGTTGAGTCTTGTTGAGCTCGTTCAACCGTGTACTCGTGCCTCTCTCCCATGGGGCGTCCTGCTTCCCCTTTTATCGATGAAGGGGAAGGCACAGGTTACAAAGAGAGAAAAAGAGAAAAGCGAGTGAGAAGAAGGCATCCAGGGTCACGGCGTCCTTCATCTCCTTTATGCTGGTCCCGCCAGTCCTGTAGATAATGACGGGGATGGATCCACGTCGCGGCCCTGTTCGTCACTGGCGCTATACGCAGGCGTCGTCAGCCGGTCACGGCGCTCCACTTCGTTTCGGCGGGCGGCGTGGTCAACAGGCACTCCTGTCAGAAGCCGTACGGGGATTAGGCAGCATAGCGCCGGCACGCCCGACATTGTTGGAGACGTGAGTCCCCAGGTATGGTCTATCGCGGCCATGGGTCACGTCGAGACGTGCCCGCTCCCCTCCCGATGTCAGAAGTTTGACCCCCGGGGTCGTACTCTTAGACCCGTAGTGGTTGGAGGCGGTATGGATCCCCCTCGGGCGAGATGGAGCCCGCGCCCTCGGGTTCGGGTGAGACGGAGCCCGCGCGGCTGAGGGTTCTGGCGAGACGGAGCCCGCGCCCTCGGGGTCGGGCGAGACGGAGCCCGCACCCTCGGGGTCGGGCGAGACACGTCTTGGACCGTCCGAGCGAATTAACGTTCGTGGCCGTTAACTTCCTTCCTCCGGGTATCCCTAATATCGATACCCGACACTTAAACTTTCATAAAGAGGTGGGCAATGCACTTATACACTTCAACAGCAACTATTGAGTCTTCTAGCTGCTATATGGCATATCTCATTCTTTCTCTTTTGGCAATGTGATCAATTGGCTTACCTATAATCATTAAGCACAACTATATTCCTGAATATCAACTTATATTGTATTTCAACCTTTTCTACTTGACGAAAAGAACTTGTATTCGCTTGAACTTATCAGCATGCCTTATCAGCCATGGTACAATATTTTTCTCTCACAACAAATCAGCGAACAATACCTTTCAGTCTGGCTTTTCAGCGAAACGAACATGGCCTACATGTGTTGTTGTATTTATGCCATATTTGAAGCGTTCTTTTTTTTGATAAAATTTTTGAAGCATTCTTGCTGCAATTACTGACAGTTCAATAGCAGGGGGTTCACAAGAGGAGCAAGAGGAACAGAAGATGAAGGTAAACATGAGTTATCAAGCCTTATTACATCTAAAAAATAGTATGAAAAAGGGATTACTTGTTTATTTTGTTCTTTTTTACTTGAGCTAGCACTTTTCCTGACAAAGCAGCAACAACCACCTAAAGCATCAAAGCAGAAAGCACATGGGGAACTCCTGCAAGTAATTATGGACAATAACCAGATGATGATCCTGGGAAACATATATGAGACATGGCTGAAGGATGTATCAAGCCTTGTCTCAAAAAAAAAGGCATAAAGTATCAACCTGTTTTCCTAGAGATTTCTGTACTGATGTGTTCTAATAAATAACATTTATCTGATCTATGCTTGTAGAATTTTGATTTTATTCGATCAACCAAGATAAGTGACATGTTTAATTTAACCATGACATGAAGAATGGAACATAACGCTTTTTATGATAGCACTCAGTTTAATTGTAATGCTTGAATGGAACATATTATTTAATGAGGAATGTTTGTTCTGCAGCTTTGGCAACTTGTGCGGCAGGGAACCGTACGGAAACATCTCAATCTCCAGAGGAGCAAAGATGTGACTTGGTGTTGTTGGAAACAGTTTTGCTACTGTGGTTCTTTTGTGCACATCACGTGTTTATATTACACAATGTTTACTTTTAACACATAATCTCTGGTGAAGATATGAGGCAGTAGCTTTGTGTTAAGTCACACAAATTCTGAGTTGTTATTTTGGAGGTTTGGTAGGTGTATCTACGTGTGGGCCTTGGACGGAAAGATTAACATCTTGCAGGGGAAGATTTGACCTGAGGTCATGAGTGAGAAAATTAGGGGGAAATTGGGTCCCTGGCAAGCTTGCAGATGCACCGCACCCATTGTCAGCACCAGGACTGCTATGCCGGCAACATGAGATGGTAAGCAGACACTAACTGATGAAGTTGAACAAGAGGAGTCCCAGTCCAGACCAGCAAGGCCCAAGAGATTGTTGAAGCCCAGTACACGAGTGTGTGGCCCAGAATGGATAAACTATATGTACGAGTGATGGCGTGAGAGAGAGGGTGTGAACAATTGTAAGCCAAAACTCTGCTATGAATGAACTCGTCCTCACTACTGCTCATCTTCTTCCCCTTCTCCAAGGCTCTCTAGCTCTTTCCCCAAATTCCCCTCCGCTGTTTGCTAACATTTAGTATCAGATCCCTAATCCTGGAACCTAACCTCCCTCCCCACCTTCACTATACCCGCTTCTAGAATGTCAGCACCAGGACTGTTGTGCCGATGAGCATACGCTAACTGATGAAGTTGAACAAGAGGAGGCCCAGTACAGACAAGCAAAGGCCCAAGAGATCGCTGAAGCCCAGTAGTACGTAAATATGTGGTCCGAAATGGGTGAACTAGGGGCCTATTTGGTTCCATTAGTCCATGGACTAAAGTTTAGTCCCTACCCTATTTGGATCCAGGGACTAAATGCCATTAAAGCTGATAAATAAAGACTAAAACACCCCTATTTAATGCATGCGCAGGGTGGGGAACAGGGCAATAATGAGGGACATGAGTTGTCCTTTTGGGCCTTTAGTCCCCTTTAGTTACCCCCAAGTGACTAAAAGACTAAAAGACTTTAGTCACCTTTTAGTCATCCTGTTTGGCACTTTAGGGACTAAAAGGGTCCAAAATGGGGTGACTAAACTTTAGTCACCTGGAACCCAACAGGGCCTATATGTATGAGTGATGGCTTGAGAGAGAAGGTATGAACAGTTGTAACCCAAAACTCTGAACTCTGAATAAACTTGTCCCCGCTACTGTTCGTCTTCTTCCCCCTCTCCAAGCCTCTCTGGCTCTTTCCCCCAAATTCTCCTCCGTTGTTGCTAACACCCATACACTGACTATGATGAGTGTTAAATTTCTGGTGGCTAGGCACCAATGGCTCTGCCACGTCTACCAATGACCCAATAGTCTGTGTTATGATCAGCTCCACACATGCATCTAACATCTCTATGATGTGATCGGCCAGGTCCTTCAAAGGGATAAGAACGACGGGGAGAATCTTCCCTGAACATATAGCTTCATATTGACTTGCATTGTGCTTGAATGATATTTACTTCACGTCTTATCCGCAACAACTGGTAATGCACGGTGTTAGTGAACTGAAGATTGTAATCACAACTAAAGAGAAGTAAACTAAAATTGTAATCACCACTAAATAAACTCACTTACAATGTTTT